AGGGAAGTGGTTGAGTCCCCATCCCTGGAGGTATTTAAAAGATGTGTAGATGAGGCGCTTAGGGACATGGTTTAGTGGGCATGGTGGTCTTGGGTTGACGGTTGGACTCGATGATCTTAGAGGTCTCTTCCAACCTTAATGATTCTATGATTCTATGAATTGCCAAGGTAATTGAATATTTTGGAGATAACGTATATCTAAATAGCAAAAACAGTTACCTGTGGCAGTATTACATTTTTATGTCAGTCATCTAGCAGCATTTATTTCCTTAGTCAGTAGAGACTGGATATTATTTTTGTTGAGATGCTTAATTTTCATTCTTATGGCGATATACTAGTTCAAGAATATTGAAACAGAGTTACTAAAGCTCTGAAGAAAATCTTTAGATATCAATATGTGGACCTATGTTTTGGATCTGTGCCTCCCAGGTTGGGATATCTGATTGTCCTGTTCTGTCATATGAGACATGCATTATTTCTTGTTCGGTTATTTTTCTAATTTCATCTGCAATGCCCCTAGAGTTTTGCTCCACTGGAGATAGTTACAACCTATATTTACTTGTATACAGTTTTGTTTTCATCTAATGACCAACGGTTGGATTTCCTATAGTATTTGTTAAAAGAAATGGTTTGTTATTCATTAAAGCTCTGTTAATATTTTAAGACCAAAATTCACAACTGCCAATAGCCTTCCAAAAGATCTATTTTCTCTATCTTTGAGCAGCTGCATCTTCTGACAGTCTCTAGTGAGTTGGCTTTAGACTCTTGGGATAAGAACCGCTAGTTGCCTCTCAAACTAATAGCTTGAGTTGTTATGTTTCTCAAACTTCTATATGTTGACCTATAACTTTTAATCCAAATTAGTTTTAGTTTCTTACTTTACTGTTTTCTTTTTGCATCAGCTGGAATATCATCAATAATATGCAATCCATAAAAACTCAGCTGCTGTGGAATAAAGCATTGCTGGTCTGATTAATACCTATAAGTTCTGAATACCAATGGAAATGAAGCGTATGTCATGTTTTTGAGCAGTAAGCCCTTACCAAGTTAAATGAACAGTGCCCACAGAGTTTCACACTGTAACATAGAAGTACTTTACTAGAGTAGATCTAATGATATGTTAAATGCTCATAACAACAATAGGCTATAGTAAAACTTTGTGGAAGGTGAGGCAACAAAAAAAAGGGAACATTGACATGCTATAACATTGTGTGGGATTCTGAGTGTTACACAGTATACACAATACCAGCTGAGCAAAATAAAATGTATAAATGTATGAATTTATAGGATTTTACTGGGAATAAAATCTCTGGATCTTGGTTTAGAACAGGCATTCTGAAAATGGTGTTATTTGCAGCTACGTTACTTGGATTACAGTATTTCACGGTAGCTATACCATTTCTGTCATTACACACCTATATTTATGTATAGTTTACAAGGAATTCTTAGGTTGTAGCTTGCCAAGTCTTGTACTGTATAACTTCTTGCTCTGAACTTCCCTCTTTCATACATGCACATGTACATGCACACACATGTACACATACACACATGCACAGCAGTCTTCAAGAGCTGTTAACAGAGATTAAAAAGTAGATGCTGTAGATTTCTTGTCACTATGATTTCCATTGTTTTGAATAAAAAATAGTATAGACTATTTACTAATCTCCTATGAATTATTGCCATAATAACTAAAACTAAATGTAAATTGACAAAGTACATTCTATTGTATGATTACATGTTAAATGCTGCAACTGATTAATAGCCAATTATCTACAAGATTCATACTGATTTCTGCAAACTAGTAAGGACAGTTGTACTCTGTTAGAACTTACTCCCTGTAGCAACCTTTGAGGTGTAGCACTTCCCATTTTAAAATGTTCTTCATTTTGTACCAATACTTTTATGCTAAAATAAGCAAAACTGCTTCCTGGTCATTTCCCTTCACTTGTACAAGCATATTCACATCTGCTTCACAAATATATTAGCTTCTAAAAAGCACAGTGAAGGAGTGACAAAGAGAAGACATACATTGATATGTACATTTTAAAAAGTTTTAAAAGACACAATAATGGATGTTCATGTTTTCTGCAAGATGCAATATTTTTCTTTGCTTCTATACCTGTAATAGTGTTTTTAATTTTCTGTAAATGCTGCTATGTCAGTTTAACAAACAGGAAGTAGAATAAATCTGTTTCCTTACTTATAGGGAGAAGAGAGTTTTAAATCTCAGCCTACCTAGTAGGTAGTAGAACAAACCCCCTCCATGTAAAGTTTGTGTTTTGCCTAATCTGATTGTCTGCTTCAACCTCTTTCTTCTGACTTATGGCCTGTTTCTCTTTTTGTATTTCTGTTAACAGAAAGCTGACCTTGCAGTTGCACCATTGGCAATTACCTATGTTCGAGAGAAGGTCATCGACTTTTCCAAGCCCTTTATGACTCTTGGAATAAGTATTTTGTACCGCAAGCCCAATGGTACAAACCCGGGCGTCTTCTCCTTCCTGAATCCTCTCTCCCCTGATATCTGGATGTATATTCTGCTGGCTTACTTGGGTGTCAGTTGTGTGCTCTTTGTCATAGCCAGGTAACATGTCAACTTTTGTGATTTTTTTGGCAATTGTTATAATCTTTTTCTTACTAATAATTGTCAAAAGTCACAAAAATTTTCTTACTTTCATACTCCTATATTTTAACTTCATGATGTACAGAAGAATAATTAATGATGAGGGTTCTCACTATTAATTTTCTCCACTGCCATACTAAGTCTCCAGTTTGTTATGTCACTAAGTCTGAGTATGCGAGCTAGATTTCTCCTTTTCCTTACAAATTTAGAGACACTAGAAAGTTAATGAAATATTTTTTTCCCAATTGTGCTGTGTTTAGAGAGACAGGGGTTGACATATTTTATTTTGTTAGCCTGATTTAATTTGATGCTATGGTTCTTAATCTCAAATTGAGTACTTAGCTGCCCATGTTAATCCTAGATGTCCAAATTGGGCCTCCACCTGTTACAAAATAAGTTATTTTATGTAGATTAGTATCTCAGAAGTAGGGTAACAATATTTAGTTTTTAACTGTGTGCTAGGTAAAATACCTGACATACCTCACATAAATTAAAGTCCCAGATTGGAATGTATTTGCAAGCATGTTTATTTGAGTTTTCAGAGTTAAGGAACTCAATACAACAACTGTTAAATGATAAATTGATTTGATATATAGTGCTCACTTTTTTATCTGTTTTCTTCAACACAGACAAGCAGGAAAACATCTTTTGTCAAAAATTCCCATTATATTTACATTTTCCTTGTTAAGTAATTAGGACTGACTCCGGATGCTCACCAAAATATAGTCTTACATGTTATAACTTTGACTTTTGCTGTGACAGCAAAAAAAAATTCAGAACAGTAAATCAGCGATTCCCGGGGGTGTAAATGTAATCTCTTTTGCAGATTCCTCCTAGTAGTCACTTTTAAATATTTTTTTTTTTAATCAAATACGTATAAACTATATTGGTTTTTATCCCTTTAATAAGATTTTTTTTTCTATAGCAATGATTTTAGAAGCATATGTTTGACTTGATAATGCAATCTCACTTCAGCCCCAAGATTTTTATGATTTCATTCTGTAGTACACAGCAGAATCTTCATATTTTACTTTTCCTATTGTGCTGTAGTTCATATCAGGGTTCTCCATCTTTCTTTGATACTATCTAACTGTTTCATTTTGGAGAAGTTGTATCATTCCTGTACTAAGGAGAAACAAAATATTTTTAGAAACCGGTTTAAAAGTAATTTAACAAGATCACCTGTACATAAAGTACATGAGGTAGTGAAGTAATATAGATAGCACTGAAACATACTCTGTGATTAATAACTTCGCTTGTGTGTCTTCTTTAAAAGTCTGCTTCAAAGAGCAGACTTATGTTGAAAGTTTCTTGAAAGAACAATAGATTTTAGTGGACTATATAACCAGAGAGTAAACTAATTTCTGAGGTGTTCCAGTTATACAGGTACTACTGAAAGCAGAGGTGAGCATAAATCACAAATGTTGTGAAACACCTCATGTAAAATATTTATATGTATGTCCAAAAGTTTTAACCCTATTGTTATCACAGAAGGACATTTTCAGCATGATGCACAGTGCTTTTGACAGGCAGCTCCCAGTAATATTAGTAGGAGTTGTATGGCTGAGTTCTTACTTATGCTTTGAAAATGTGTCTTGTCATATTTTGTAGGAAAGATACGTTTTCTTTAAGCCTTTTTTTTTTAATTAAGCTACTCAGTCACTTGGTCTCACTAGCAGAACTGGAAAGAATGTTTATTTTTAAACAGAAGTGCCACACAGTAGACCAGTATTGCTGATTTTTTTTCACTTGTTTGTTTTTGTGACCAGCACCATAAATTCCTTATCTTAATTGTAAAGCAATATAAAATACGTTTTATACTGAGCAGAGGAGTTTTGGTTTTTGTAGAGTTGTATAAAATACCTTTTTTCATTTATATCAGCCTTCAGATCTAGAGATTTTCTATACTTCTTAACTTGTACAATCAAGTATTGATAACATTTAGAAATAAAAGATCTAGGATTATGTAAGACAATCTACAGATTTTATTCATAACACAGAATGACTTAATAGTATGTGGTAGCGTTTTCTAACACTATAGTTCATATAGGGAAACAGGTCTAAGTTAAAAATGTAATCTGCTGAATAATAAAGAGAGAAAAGAATATTACTCAAAAATAAAAGAGCCTTTGGTGAATATAATTCACAAAATGTATCTGTCACCTAAAGGGAGATACTGATAACCAAAGTGTGGTAGTGAAGAGGACTTTGTAGCATAGTGCTGACTATGTATTTTCAGTACATATTGCACAGCTGATGATGTATTTTTCAGTCCTGGTGTCGTGAAACTGTTGGACTGTATGCCACTAAATTAATAGGTTCCACCTAGAGTATCTTATTAAGAAGATTTCTATTTCATAACAATCCTTCCATAATGAATGTTTAACTACCAATGTTTCATAATAATTACTATGTGTTTCATAATAAGATGTATCTATGTTTGGAGCAGTACTTAGTGTGTCTTTTATGATATGATGTTTTGTAATTACAGCTCCTCAGAGTATTCAGTGTAGAATATTTATTTTTAGATTTAAACCTCTCATTTTTGTGTTAAATGTTTCATGATTTTATTGTTACATGTCTTCCAAACAGTGTTGGAATGTAAGAGCTTGGTATGTTGAAAATGGAAAGTACAGTTCTGTTGTGGTACTTGGATTTCACCCATTAACTAGCGGTATGGTCCTATTTAGGGAAAGATGAAGAAATTAGTAAAAGGTTCAAGAATCTTTGAGAGAGAATTGCTGAAAGGACTTTCATAGAGCAACATATTAGGCATAAATGGCGAAAAATGTAATATAAAACTTTATTAGTCTTTTCCTTTATTTAAAAGTGTTGGATTTTCCTTCCAATTTGAGAACCAGATATAAAGAGCTGGAATGTTTGTATACTTAACAAGACAAAAAGCTAGGAGAAAGATTTATTTGTTAGCTGGAGGTCTTTTCTGTGTCATTTTCCTCTTGTAGTCCCCCCCAAAATGATGACTCATCTATTTATGTAGGCGTTACAGATTTTGCATTGTGGATAGGATGAACATGTATGTGTTGTACACAGCATTTTCTTTAATTGTCGTTCTTTGTGGGAAATTATAGTAGGCTGTGATTTCTCCATATATATGAAAACCTCTTAATCTTGTTTGTTGTGATTGTTGAATCTAAATAGTTATGGTGGTTAGTCTCTGAAAGTTCCTTTCTTTGTCATACAGGCTGATGACTAATAGATAAACCCAGTCTGCTTGACACTAAGCCTATTACTTTTCTGTGAACTGAGAAAGTCATAGTATTTTTTTCTCTTGAGGCAACAGTAATAGATCTGTTTCTGATGCTAGCCAGTAGTGTCTTTGTGTCACTGCTAGCAGTGTCTTGTGTTGTCTGGCGTCTTGTTGCATTCCAATTCCAATATCTTCCCTTTTTGCCTCTGCCTTTACTTGTTTCTTTGATTTAGAATCCCAGTTAAATTCAGAGTTTACATGTGATTAGAAGGGAACTAAGACTGGAGTAAGATGCGCCAAGCCCTTTCTGGAGATCTGTCAAGTACACAATATTTTCTGATCTGTATAATGAAAAATCTCGTTTAGTGGAATTTCTTTTCATTTCTGTCTGTTGGTGCAAACCATTGTTTCGTTTCTAAGAAACATGCTGATTTCTTACAGTGTTGTATACCAACTTCATACACACATATTGTCCCTTTTTTCCATTAGTCTGTGTATATGAAATAGCTGTGTCCTATTTTTGGTCTCTGCAAAATGGTAACTGGAGGATACTTCCCATTCTGCATAGGCAATATGAAGAAAGTCAGTTTCATACTTTTAAAAATGCTAAATACATTTGATTTACATAGATCTTCCAATTAATGACTTTCAAAATTAATTTTCAGCTGGCTTTCCTCATGATTGTATTATATTTTTTGGAGAGTCTTATGTATGATTTTAAACATCCGTGTCTTCATGAATCTTTTCTGGAAACACAGATTAGAGGCAAAACTCCTTAAATATTTTTATCTTATCATTTTCTACCCAATTTACTGGATTTCAAGTTATTCCCTGCTCATTGAAGTATTTCTCTGTGTAGTAAGGTCTGTTTGCTGTGAACGTGTCTGTCATAAAGCAGCTTACTCTTAAGTGACCTATCTTCATAACTGGAAGAGATACATCTGCCTTAGCATGATGCTTCACCTTTACGGATCAGCGGTGAAGCACATAAACTATCCTGGATAAAATGGTCCACTAATGAGCTCTTACGCTTATACTGAGCTGTGTGGAGTATCAGTGAATATTGTGTAAATATGCATTAAACTGTGCTCACTGCCTTAATTGCTAATATTGAATCATGAGTTATCATTTTAAAGGGCTTGATTCACCTTTACTTGTACCACATTCTGTATGTTAGGACTTCCTGCTTTCTCCTCCCTTCAGCAGAATTATGCTATCCTACTTCTCGTAAGTCAAGCCCTTGTGCTGGTTTCATCTGTCAAAGCATTTAGTATCAACTATTTTTCCATTTCTTTGTAAGCAGTGATAAAAGCACAATGAACATTGCCTCATCACCAAATTATATTTTTCTCTTACCAGCTGTAATAAACATAATAAAAGAAGACAAGAGTTTTAAAAATGTCTCCACACATTTATCTTAATCTTTTCTCTGTGAAGAAGCTTAGGAATAGCCTGCTGTTTCAGACTTGAACAGACGCCTGAGCATTATCTCTCTCTGGAGTGCATGCATATCCTTTTACATCTCATCAGTCTTCATTTTTATTTCATATTTCTTGATCAGCTGATTTCTGTCCTTGAACTTGTCTGATTGATTTTCAAACTACTCCTTGAAAACTATCTCGATGGAAAGGAATTAATGGCAGAATGAGAGGGAACTACTTTTCTAGTTACTATGGAGCTCTGGTTACTGAATTACTATTGATATTTATTCAAGTAGGAAGTTAGCATATTTGCCCTTTATTCTTAACAAGCA